TTAGAATTAAATAACAATAAAAATAATACATATGCACTTATCTGTACTTGGTAAATGCAGTTATTTTTAAGCGGTTGTTGACATCCTATCTAAAACGTGATTTAGCCAAAAAAAAACCAAAAAAACCCCCAATAACGTTACCACTCTAATATGTCTTGCAATATCCGTGCGTGCAAAAGTTCTGCGCGATCCTCTTGTTCAATATTCTCTGGGTCTGAATCCGGCTCAAATTGATATGGCAATATTGACGCCATCCTTAACTAAACTTGCTGCTTTGGCAAGGGGCGGGGCAGTACTGAAACACCGTCTAAGCTGTTCGCCAATCACAATGCACTGGGATAGCTAACCAATCACATCACATTTCGTTTTTCGGAAGGCGGGCCTTCATCAAACCCAGAACTAATCGAGTCGTTTGTGCCAGGATGGGGAGAAAAGTATTGTAATAATGTAAATTATGTAACAAATAATGTGTTTTTTGAACCACCAAGCATGCGAGCATGTTCTAGTACACCCCCAAAACAAATTCAAGGCATTGTAAAAGAGCATAATAGGACCTCTATTCCACTGGCACTTAATTTAATTTCACAAATTATCAAATGGAAATGTGTATTAGCATGAGTGGGTGTGTTTTATTGTCTTACCCCTGTCGGTATCGTAGAGAAAGACGAATCGATTCCAGTCGTAGTGGTCTAGCAGGCTGAGAAGGGCCCCTCGTATGGAGGGCCGCAGCTGTAAGACGAACTGACTCTCGCCCTCGGTGGGGAAACTGGGCGTGATGAGGGAGATGTGCAGCGCGCCACAGAAGGACGTTAGCGTGTGAACCGACCTCTTGTCGTACAGGCCAAAAATGGCGAAAACGCCCCGCGAGTACTGCGAACAGACTGCAAAACACAACAACACAGAGGAAGAGAGAGAGTTAGAAGCTTAAAACATTAATTACATAAAACCTGAGGGAGTGCTGAACATTTACTTCACTTTAGAACAGTAGCTTACGTTAGTGTTACGTTAGGGCTTTTCCGTAGGTGTTTGAAATATTAATGAAACAGCCTGGGAAACTCTTCCACCATCTGAATAAGTCTTTATTCTCTACATGATTTCTATTAGCAGGTCAACTTATTTTTGTAGCTTTTAATGTTACACAAGAATGGCTAATTTACAAAATACAAAAGTCATCATTTAAAACGTCAATTTTTGAAATGTTCTTCTCTTTTTTTTTGTAAATGTCATGTTAATAAAAATGACACCCATAAAACACTGATTATATTAATAAAAAACAAAACAATTATTTTAATGTTTTGGCTGATAACAAATGAATGGTCAATAAAAAAATGTATTTTTTATATAAATAAAATCACAAAATTGTATATATGAATATTTTAAAAGTGACTACAAAGTAAAATCCAACATTTTAAATGCTAGAAGTCATTTAGGCATCAAAAGCACTGATATAAAGTATGAAAAAGTGATTTTTGAGATTACTTTTAACATTGTTATTAAATTACTTTATTTTATTTTTATAAGAATATCTTTAAGGAAGCAGTAATGACCTCTAATATCTAAATACAAATATATCTTATATCTGAAATTTGTAAAAATATGGGAAAGCATTAACGACATGTAGTTAATTTAAAAATAATCTTAAAAGTAATAAAAAATAAACTTCTGAAATACTGGTTGATAACCTGTGAGGTACGTACACACAAACACACAATACTGTTTTTACTGTTTTAAGTTTGGGGTCGGTAAGATTTTTTTTTTTTTAAAGAAATGAATACTTTTATTCAGAAAGTATGCATGAAATTGGTCAAAAGTGACAGTGAAGACATATCATTTTACAAAAGATTTCTATCTCAAATACATTATGTTCTTTTAAACTTTCTATTCATCAGAAAATCCTGAAAAAAATCAAATTAGTTAATATTTATATGAATAAAAAACAACCTTCTTAGTAAAAATGTAACAACATGTCACAATATTACTATTTCACTGTATGTTTGATGAAATGCAGTTTAAATGATCATAAGAGACTTAGCAATCTCATATACTGTATATACAGTATAATATATATATATATATAAGCTAACGGAACCATGCTAAACAGCTAAAATTTGTCCCCTTGATTTAACATTGGAAATAGGCTACAGGGTGCTTGCTTTCTAAATGGGCTTTCCACAAAAAAACAGAAGAAAGAAAATGGAAAATTGGATCAGTTCTATGTGGACTTGCTCATTATTGAGTCAGAGCTGCATCTGTAAGTGCCAGCAGTTTCCAATAAACACTTTATATGGTGTATGATAATGAGCTCCACGCTGCTTCTCCGTGTTTTTGCAATTCTGAGAAACTTCAGTGGCTGCTGAGGCAACGTCTGATCTACTGTCTCAGTCTGAAGTGAGTAGTTAAGCAGGCCCATCTCTGAAAATGTCTCTCATGTCTGACAGTCTTGCAGTTATTGTCAGTTTTCTCCTTTTCATATTTCTTTCTTGCAGCAAGTCCGACTTCTCAGCTTTGAAGCTTAACTGCGACAACGCTAATGGAAAAACCACCTGGCTTTGATGATTTTCGTTTTCCCATTTCTGTTCCGAATAAACAGCCAAAAAAGACAGCGGCAAGTCAAAACTACGCAATGTACGCTCACGGCAACGAGGGCATTATTGTCATCGTATACAAGTAGGCTCGTTTAATCGATGGTATCGTAATTACATATCGCTGAACGCACAGCATCTGAAGTGCTTTGTCGTAGTTAGTTATTTTTGTATGATTCTGACTGGCACTAGCATGTTTCCGAAAGTAATTGTGGATTATTAGCAGGATCTCATTGTGCCGTAAAGTATAGGCTCTTTGATCATGGATGTGCTAAAAGCACTATCTCCATGACCGCACACAGACAACATCTGCTTCGGATTGGGGGAAGGGAACGGAAAGACACCTGGATCTGACAGTGGGAAGCATCATTCCCACAGAGAAGCAGAGGCTAGTCACACACACACTTCAATATACAGAGCCAAACCAAGAATATACTGTTTCCAAACATTTTTTGTCTCATGTACAGCCTCGTTATTAAAACTCAAGTACCTCTTCATTGACAAAAACAGTAATGTGTTCATACTATACATGATTTAATTCAGTATCCTCAACAATATTATTAGGTAGGACCTTTTAAAGAACAATAACAAATTCATATAGTAGCATACACTACAGTTCAAAGTTTGGGATTTTTTTATATTTTTGAAAGATATCTTTTATGCTCACAGAGGCTGCATTTATTTGATCAAAAACACAGTAAAAACATGGAATATTGTGAAATATTATTACAATTTAAAAGAACTGTATTCTATTTTAATATATTTTAAAATGTAAATAATTTTTGTGATGGCAAAGCTGAATGTTCAGCAGCCATTTATACTCCAGTCTTTAGTTTCTTGACATTTCTCATGTTAAAAGCAACTGAGAGGAAATAAAAGTATAAAATCTTTTTTTTTAACATTATGAATGCCTTTACTGCCACTTTTGATCAATTTAATGCATCCTTGCTGAATAAAAGTATTGATTTCTTTGAAAAACACATGACCACGTTTGAACAGTAGTGCATAATTTATTTTTCTATCACAATATTTGTTGTTGTTGTTGTTGTTGTTTAAAAGGTCCTATTTAATAATAATGTTGATGCCACAAGTGCCACACACACACATTTTAAAACACATTCCATACATTATTGTTTTCTTTCATCAAAAACAACAAAGATAATTCAATTAATATTATTATTTTAACATATTTTCATTTAGTTTTAAATCATAGTTAAATATATTCTTCTTCTTATGAATTTCCCTGCGATACACATACCTCTGTTTGGGAATCACTGCTAGTGTTTGCTCTTATTATATTTGCACACCAGCAGAAACCACACACACAGTCAGCTCACACACCGTCATGCCCTTCAACATCTGCACTCCACTTAAACAATTTTGTCTGAGACCTGCATACCAAGTCACAACGCTATAGGCTAGATGTTTATCCAATCAGGGAGAGAAATAAGATTGCGGCAGATTTTTCACACTGCAGTCGCTCGCTCTGTTCCACCTGATTTGCACAGTTAACCCTCTTTTGAATGCTGCTGAGTACATTCTCTCACAGCGCATGCCATTCCACATATCCCAAATGAATATCTGCCACAAAAATGAGCACAAAGAGTAACAGTATTGTCTGAACTTCCCTAATTTTACTGTCAGTTTCCTGTCATCCCAATCCACACAGCTCTAGGACACAGAAAATCATATCCCAGCACGCACAACACTGAATATAAGTATAAAACAAGCTGATCATATTTCTGTAATGAAATGTATTTGCCAATATATAATAGAAATGTCTAGTGTTATTGTTTAAAAAGTCTTTTTTTGACTATTATAAATACTGTGATGAAGTATGGTATACTGTCAAACTACTAAAAGACAGTTAGTCATCAACACGTTGTTATGAACTGTTCATAGCGTCTTTCTCTCAAACTAATGCTTGTTGACCGATCATGACATGAGCGTGTATAAAACAATGCGAAACCACTGACAGTTGCTGTACTGAATTGCTATATAAACACACACATATTTAAAAACCTGCTTATTTTTATTGGTACAATACATACAGGGCCTAATGACTAATTACTCTGGGTTTGCTGGAAAATGACAATGACAACACTGATTATATTAATTATACAGTATATTAAAATCCTGGCCAATACAATAACCCAGTAATTAATTTCATGTTCTGGCTGATAACTGAAAGATAGGCAAAATTCTATACTTTAAAAAATAAAATTACAAATGGTATTTATGAAAACAAAAAGTAAAATCAAAAATGTTAAATGCTAAAAGTGAATTTTGACATAAAAACATTAGATATAAAGTATGAAAATTGGACATTCATTTTGCTAAAGATCACATTTAACAGTGTTTTTAAATATTAACTTTAAAGGGATAGTTCACCCAAAAATGATAATTCTGTCATTAATTACTCATCCTCATGTCATTTTAAACCTGTAACACCTTTGTTCATCTTCGGAACACATATTAAGGTATTTTTGATGAAATCCGAGAGCTTTCTGACCCTCCATAGACAGCAATGCAACTACCGTGATCAAGTCACAGAGAGTTAGTAAGGACATCGTTAAAAAGTCCATGTGACATCAGTGGTTTAACCTTAAAGGGTTAGTTCACCCAAAAATGAAAATTCTGTCATTAATTACTCACCTTCATGTTGTTCCAAATCCGTAAGACCTTCATTCATCTTCGGAACCCAAATTAAGATATTTTTGATGCATTCTGAGAGCTCTCTGATCCTCCCAGACAGCAATGTAACTAACATGATCAAGGTCCAGAAACGTATCAAGGACATCGGTAAAATAATCCATGTGACATCGTTACGCTACGTAATCGTATCGCTACTGTTCTGGACCTTGATCATGTTAATTACATTGCTGTCTATGGGAGGGTCAGAGCGCTCTTAGAATTCATCAAAAATATCTTAAAGGGGTCATATGATGCGATTTAAATTTTTCCTTTCTCTTTGGAGTGTTACAAGCTCTTGGTGCATAAAGAATATCTTTAAAGTTGCAAAGACTAAAGTCTCAAATCCAAAGAGATATTCTTTATAAAAGTTAAGAGTCAGCCACGCCTACCTAAAACGGCATTTTCATTTTTGGATGAACTATCCCTTTAATGTTATTAAGCTACGAGATCTTTGCAAACAAAAAGTAGGCCTATTCTCGTAGCTTCATAAAATTATGTTTGAACCAATAATGTCACATGGACTATTTTAACGATGTCCTTATTACAGTACCTTACTGGGCCTTGAAAATGTCAGTTGTGTTGCTGTCTATGGAGGGTCAGAAAGC